CGATGATTTTAGTGACTTGAAATGTTATGAAAAATCTTTTGTTATTCAATTAAGATTTTATAAGACTCTCTTAAACTTTGGTGTTATTAGATTCTGATTTGTAAAAAGTAATCTAAAGTCTTCATAAATCTTGAGTTATTGGATTCATACTTTAATAAAGTCATTAAATTTTTTGTGTTATTCAACTAAAACAAAAGAATCTATGATTGTTAATGATTTAAATTATTGTGTTATTGGTTTATGATTTTATACATTTTTCTTCATAAACTAAAATCATGAAAAGTATCATAAAAAAAGAGATTATGAATCATGACTTTGTATATAAACAAACCAATGATAAACCATCGTGAAAAATGACCACAGATTTTCACCAGCCTTAAAACCTCACGACACATCATTTTATCCGATTCTACAAACACCATTCATTTCATAATTTTGGTGTGTGAACTCTGGAAGAAGAGACCACTCTCATCAACCATGAACCATAAAAACTCCACCGCTCTTTCTCTCCCTCAATCATTTGCATCTCTTCCTTAATTCTCTCTTCCCATCTTCTTCATCATCATGCATTATTTGTCACATCATCATTATACTAGCTGCCAAGTCATTCTTCTTCCTCTTAATGTGACGTGGAGATTCGGAGATGTAAGCTTTTGGAGATATGTTATAATAAAAGATGGAAATACTGTCCAAGTTTATAATATTTAGACAGATTTTATAAGATTATAGAAAAACTAATCACAGAGATTATACAAAACTCTCTAGTAATCATTTAAACTCTTTAAAACTCTTTAATTTTACCTACTTTCTATACTTTTTAAAAGTCATTAAAACTCTTCCAAAGTCACAAACCAATAACACCCCCTAAGACTCAGGACCCCCGCGATGTCGCGGGAGAATATATTTCAAAAATCATTTAAAAAAATATCAAACGAAAAAATCATAATGAATTGTAATAATTTTGAATTTTTTAATAACAAATCAATATATATTTTACAAAAATTATGATAAAGAAAACCCCACAAGCATTTATTAAGTATATTAATATTAGAAAAACAATAATTTGTAACTAACAAACTATTCCCAAGTGCAAAAAGCATAAACTAATAAACCAAATATTACAATGGTTTGATAAATATGCCAAAAGGTTCAACGTCAAATAAACCAAATGCTATTGTGTTAAATTAAACGGTAGCAACAATTCATTTAAATATATTTTAGTATTTAAATATTTTTTAAAAATATGACGAACTTATCCGAGAAACGCAACCGTAGATATCAAATATTCCAAAAACTGCAATGGTTCGTCAATTATACCAAATATTGCAATAGTTCATCAAATATACTAAAGATAATAATGGTTCGTAACACAAAACCAAAAGTTGCAATAATTCGTCAAATAATTCAAATGTTGAAACAGTTCAATTAAATAGTTACAATCTCATTTA